AAACGCATACTGTTTTGCGTTTAAACGCAATAATTATTGCGATTAAACGCAAAGTTTTGCGATTAAACGCAATAATTATTGCGATTTAATGCAATAAAAAATATTTCTCTCTCTGAACTAGCCTCAACGGGCGTCCGTAAAATTTGCCTACAGATGAAAAAGTGCTTATTACGCTTTACATGTAAATGGTAAAAGTCATTAATGATAAGATCTATATAGGATTATTAGAAGTAGATAACTCAATAACGTGACCTAAATACAGCTATGTGCAATTACATTGCATAGAGGAAGCATTTAAAAGTTTACAGATAAGAAGTTAAGGCATAAATGTGCCTGTCGACCTCTATCAAATGAGCCCGAGAAGTAGATGATTTTCACAAGTTTAGAGACGCTACAGAACGGATTATCCTTCGGTAGTATCCCACTTATCATATAGAAAAAATGGAAAAGTGAACAATATTCAAGCTTAAAAGTTCGATGAACTCAGAGCAAATAATATTTTGATTTTGGTAAGAAGATGCAAAATACTGATTCTGTTCCCAATGTGGGACTTAGTCTATATTATTTTACAAATTATTTGACGGAAAAACATATAGGGTTTTTTTTGTTTTTGTTTTCATTTTTGTTTTTATCAGTTATTAACTTTTTTAAAAGGTTTATCGCGTCAATCAGGACTTTTTTATTTGAATTGTTTACAATACAAAAAGTATCAGCAATGTACATCGTTTTGATTATAATCCAATTCAAAAAGATTTTTCTACAAATTAGAATATGTAACACAGTACACGAATCTTCAAGATACCTTACTAGTTCTGATATTTTACAATTAATAAAAATAATGAATTATTCTTAGAGACGGATCGTCCATTTGTGATACATAGAGTCTGTCTTCACTGTCAGTGGTGACGCTACAAGGGCTTTGAATTCCCTCATACGTCAAGAACCTTAGAAGACGCCCATCTTTGTTGACGACGTGAAGTTTGTGGTTTGCATCGTCAGCAATAATCATATCACAATTAGAATTACAGCATATATCCACTGGATGGAATAATTCATCTTTATACGCATCGTATGAAAAACGGAAATCGCCCTCACTATTCACAACCACCACGGATGAGGTTCCTTTTTCAAGACGTAAAAACGCCGGATTGGTCACGCAAATATCTCCATTGCCATTTATAGCAATATTGTCGGGATATTGAAAAATATGTCCACCATTGATGTTTCCGATTTCAAGAAGTTTCTCTCCCTTTATATTACACTTGAATATTCTGGGAGGTGAAGTATTGCAGACGAATACCGTCTCTGGTTCGACAAATATGATGCCCCTGAGGCTGCCTTCCAGAGGTAGTAGAAGTGTGTCTCCAACATCATTTACTTTCCTTATACCTTCTGAAGCTGTGTATAAAAAGCCATCTTTAGTCGGAGTGAAAAACCTCACCATGTTTTTTGGTTTGTATATATCAAGGAGATGTCCTTCTGTGTCAAAAAGTTTCAGACGTTGGGCATCCTTTTCTGCTACATAAATGTTCTGCTTCTCACTGTATCTCACACATATCATATTATCTAGTCCACTTGGAATAATATCCGTTACTTCTGGGTCATGGATTGATTTTTCCACAATTTTGAATCTTTTGTTGTACAAAACAATGACATGATCAACTTCACTTCGCTCAAAATGTTGCAATAAGCATTCTTTACACAGTCTTTTTCCACACGGTTTGCAGAAAAACTGGACTTTCATATTACAAAAATGGCAGCTCAAAAAATCCTGCATTTTATTGTCTGCCATTCTTGCACATAGCCTTACATAATTTAACTGGGTGTTCAATTATAAGTTAAGAATATTCTGAAGTACAGCTTTGAATAGAATTTAAATACCTGGCTCATTTGACATAGGTCGACAGGCACATGCATGCCTTAACGTCTTATTTGTAAACTTTTAAATGCTTCCTCTATGCAGTGGAATTGCATATAGATTTATCTAGGTCAAGTAATTGAGTTGTTAAACATTTATTTAGGTTTTTTTTTGGAAAGCAATGTAAATAAAAGTATTTATTGTGCATTGCAGCATTTTGCCTCACTGCTATTTTGAAAAATTACAGATATTCTCGATAGATAAAAAAAAATCAAAGTTCATAAGTAATTGTTATGTTTTGAACATATATTGAATAAATCAAAAGGATTGAAGTTAACGTGTAATTTATTTGAATCAATTGAATTTAAAATACCTGATCAAAGATAATATGCATTCATGAATGCAACTAATGCCCAAAAACATTTTAAAGCATTTAAAGAAGAGATTAATCAATAAAACACGTTTGAGTCAAATTTATATGTATACAAGATTTACGAAATCTAGATAATCTGAAATGACAAATTTTAAATTTATGCAAGTATGTATTATAGTAAAATGTTTTTTTCTTTCTTCTTAACCATGAATAAACATAAGTTAATAGCAAAAATCCTCTTCTTGCAACGAGGACATAGTCTGTTGAACACACAATCATTTAAACTAGCTTTAAATTGTTTAATTGACTAATAAAGTCATATATGACATATTGTTGAAATTTTCAGACTAACTATAAAAATTTTAAAAAGTGTTTTTATTTGGTTTTTGTTTTATAAAAAAAAAAATAGGACCAAAAAATTGCGCGATTAAAATTGATTGCGTTTCAACTACTCGTATATTAGATATTTAAAACAATAACCGATTAATTTCACGACTCCACTCTTTCTGAGCAGAAGCCTTTTTAGTCAATTTGAATAAACGTGATTTTATTGGAAGTAGAAAATCATTGAAATTTTTTATTTAAATGTTCATGTATATAACCTATTTTGTGTTGATCTTCACTCACTATCGTACTATTTTTCAAATCTCAGATACACCATATATATAGCGTTAATTAATAAATTGATTTTTATTATTGTATATATGTGATTCGTGTTTGTGTTGGATTGTTTAATACCACTTGATAAGCCTTTGATTTAAAAAAGATTTATGAATATACGTGTAACATGACCTCACCATAAAGTTACATGTACATACAAAATCAGAGGATGGGTGGTCCTCCAGTTTATCTTTACGGAAGCCCAGTTAGGACCTATCAGAAAATATTTTTGAATTCGATATAACGAATTGTCGAATTTGTTATAACGAATTCAATTTGTTATAACAAATTTCTTAAATTCGTTATAACGAATTAAAAAAAATTGTTATAACAGATTGAACTTGTTCAAACGAATTCTAAAATTTGTAATAACGAATTAAATTCGTTTAAACAAATTATAAAAATTGTTATAACGAATTAAAGTCATTAAATCAACTTCAACTATTGTGGTCTATAGAAAAGACTTTGTGAATTTGTTATAACGAATTCAACAAAATTGTTATAACAAATTTAATTTGTTATAACGAATTCTAAAAATCGTAATAACAAAAAATTCGTTAAATTATTTTTTTGAATTCGTTATAACGAATATAAGATATCTTTTATGGCAGATTTAATTCGTACGGAAGCCCATTTAGAACCTATCAAAAATATTTTTAAATTCGTTATAACGATTTTTAGAATTTGTTATAACGAATCTAATTTGTTATAACAGAGTAATGGAATTCGTTATAACGAATTTAATTTGTTATAACAGATTCATTGAATTCGTTATAACGAATTTAATTTGTTATTACAGATTCACTGAATTCGTTATAACGAATTTAATCTGTTATTACAAATTTGTTGAATTCGTTATAACCAAATTCTTGATAGGTCCTAAATGGGCTTCTGTAAATCGTTATGACAAATTCCAAAAAAAAAATTGTTATTTCGAATTAAATTCGTTTTAACAAATTCAACAATTTTTATATCGAATTCAAAAATATTTTTTGATAGGTCCTACATGTAAGTGGGCTTGTACGGAAGCCTACGGAAGCCCACTTAGGACCTATCAAAAATATTTTTGAATTCGTTATAACGATTTTTGGAATTCGTTATAACGAATTTAATTTGTTATAACAGATTTATTGCATTCGTTATAACGAATTTAATTTGTTATTACAGCCTTTTAGAATTCGTTATAACGAATTTGATTTGTTATTACAGAATCATTGAATTCGTTATAACGAATTTAATCTGTTATTACAGATTTATTGAATTCGTTATAACGAATTTAATCTGTTATTACAGATTTGTTGAATTCGTTATAACCAATTCAAGGAATTTGGTTATAACGAATTAAACAAATCTGTAATAACAGATTAAATTCGTAATAACGAATTCAACAAATCTGTAATAACAGATTAAATTCGTAATAACGAATTCAACAAATCTGTAATAACAGATTAAATTCGTTATAACGAATTCAACAAATCTGTAATAACAGATTAAATTCGTTATAACGAATTCAATGAATCTGATATAACAAATTAAATTCGTTATTACAAATTTCTAAAGCTGTTATAACAAATTAAATTCGTTATAACGAATTCAATAAATCTGTTAAAACAAATTTAATTCGTTATAACGAATTCTAAAAAATCGTTATAACGAATTCAAAAATATTTTTGATAGGTCCTAAATGGGCTTCCGTAGGCTTCTATATATCATTCATTTAATATAAGAAGAAAGAAGTAAGGAAGAAATCCTTGAAACTTTAATAGAACATAAATTTGTACATACCTTTCATTTGAAAAATACTTATCTAAATATTAATAAAAATACCAATACTAGTATATCAATAAATTATTGTTTTTAAACAGTTAAAGCAGAAAAAATTGAGTTAGTGAGGTAAAAGGTTAGACTTACGTAAAATTATTCAACGCTAAAGTCTACATGGAATTATGCATATTTAACTTCTCCCATGATTATTAACAACATGAAATAAGGCAATTTTAAAATGCACAACAGATGTTACGCGTTAATTTATGTTTAAAATCCGTAAATGCAGACTGCAGACAGTATGTTTCAAATGGATGTGTTTATATTTATTATTAGCCTGAAGTAAGATTGAATAATTCTGATGTGAAACAAAAACCTACAGCGTACAGACACTTTACTTCGTTGGAATTAAAACAGTGAGAGAGCTATCTGCATCATGAGATTTACTTTGCTGTTGGATATTTGCCTTGCTGCCACAATTGTTTCTCTTTCAACAGGTAAAATTTCCTAGGCTACTTTCTAGGAGCATTATTATATTTTTTTTCATATAGATTACTTAGTTGTCATCTGTTGTGAAAAAAATCTACATCTTTGAAATGCTTTTCCATCTTGTAATTTTTTCAGCATGAGTTTGAGTTTATTTCTTAGATATATAAACAGACAACATTTTTTTTAATCATTAGCTTATAAATTCTTATAATTAACACGAAGTTAAACGATCCAAAACTAATATGTAAAATATAGCGTTATTACGGAAGCCCGTCGAGGCGATATATATAAAATAAATATTTCTTATTGTGTTTAATCGCAAAGCTTTGCATTTAATCGCAATAATTATTGCGTTTAAACGCAAAAATATTATTGCGTTTAAACGCAATAATTATTCCGTTTAATCGCAATATTATTGCGTTTGATCGCAATCTTTTGCGATTAAACACAAAGTGTTTTGCGTTTAAACGCAATAATTATTGCGGTTAAACGCAAGAACTATTGCGATTCAACGCACAGTTTTGCGATTAAACGCAGTAATTACTGCGTTTAAACGCAATAAAAAATATTTCTGTCTCTGAACTAGCTTCAACGGGCTTCCGTACGTTATTGGTGATTTTTTAAAATAAAATATATATTATTGTTGATATAAAATGTCTACCAAAATATTGTTTTTCATTTTCTAAGAACAAGTGACTGAACATAAGATCGTAGTATGCAACAACAGACCGACCACAATAAGTTGCCGGGAAAGAATTGTCGTACGTTCGGCTATCTTCGGACAACCAAAAGGGAACATATGCGGTGGAAGGAGGGTTTATGGTTGTCAGAGGAACGTCACTGATACAGTATCGGAGTTATGTAGCAATAAAGAAACCTGTCAGTTTACACCTGGGAGCATTTTGTTTGGTGATCATTGTCCAGGGAGTGTGAAATATACGGAGATTGTATATCTGTGTCATTTCTGGCTATTCTAAATAAAGATATGTGCTTGGACTATGAATCCAAATATGTCAATTAAACAGTATCATACTAGGCGGATTTTATTGTTATTTATCTTATATATTTTTGTTTTGTTTAAAGCATTGATTATGAGTTTAAAATAGTGCCCGCAGTTTGAATTATATCCTTTTAAATGGATCCATCTACAGAGTTTGTCTATATATTCAAACCTTCATTATCGAGATATTTATTGTTAAATTTAGTATAAAAGCAATGACGTGATAAATGGTTCTAATTAAACATGCCAGTAAAATGGCCCAGTATTTAAGTGTATATATATAGGTTGTTTTTACGAACTCTACACAAAGATCGTTTAATTTGCAAACTGCTGCTCAAAATGTAGAAATTTATTTTCAATACAACCAATAAACAATTTGAATTTGGATTAACATAACTCTACTGGATTCCTAAACTACATTAAATATTCCAAACGAAGATATGTAGCGCGTTCTAGTAAATATAACTATATATAGCATGGAGTAAGGAAAGAATATTTTAAATGTAGTGAAAAAGAAAATCGCGTAAAGTCTATGCACATTAACTCTATTAAAATTTATTTCGATTTGTAAAAAAAAAGTTGAATTGAAATCGCTGTATTGAACTTGTAACAAAGGTAACGTAAAAATACCTGAGACTTTTTTTCGAGATCATTTTTGTCTCTGTTGATTTATATCTGTGAGTACAATAAAACGTGTCACTAATTACGCTCTACATGCAGAAGAAATAGATATAATCTTTCATTGTAAAATTTTGAATTGTTTTACTGAAATCGATTTCATCTTTGTTACATAGCAGGTGTTATTGATCACTAGATATGAATTTCATATAAATAGAAATCATAATTTTTTCCAGGTCGTATACACGCTAGGATAGAAAGGGTAAAATTTAACATTAGAAAATGAAAATAATAAATTTGCTATTTTTCTTCTTTTATGAAATTGACTTACCAAAATTATAATTTATTCCTTCTCTCTCATTTCACACTTTTATATAAACTGTTGATATAAGTTAGTGTTGTTGGAATTTTATTAAATTTAGTTTAAATCATAATGGTGATTTTATGGATGCCACTTTATCTGTCCTTGGCCTTCCTTTCTTGTCTTGGACACAATGTTGAAGACGGTAAGCTTTGTTTTCTAGATTACAATTTTGTTCATTACATTGCTATCATAAAAGTAAAACCGGGCTTGACTTTCAAAAGAAAAAAGGGTAACATTTTCCGTACGGCATGTAGTGTATTTTTTCCATAGGCATCTTTTAACTCTTCAGTTTTTAAAATACATGTAATAATAAGATTAAAAATATATAAAGCAAAATAACAATAAATCATTGAAACATATCAGCATTTCAGTCTTAGGCTTATAAGTCTGTATAAATGAGTCATGAGTGCAAACAAAGGCAACACGTGGTATAACAGCATTATCAAGTACTGATCAAATTTCGGAATCTGTAAAAAAAAAATATCACTGTTACAGTAGTTATCATTTATATATTTGTTAATTTATTCAACTAAACAAAATAAGCTTTCTATCCAATTTTGATACGCAGGTACCTTTGCAAGCCATTTATATAAAAACTCCAATAGACTTTTGTTCGAATTATTATATATGATAGGCAAAACTATATTTTATAACATATCTAAGAAACACAAAATTCCATCATCTTGCATCTAGAGGGGGCATCTCAAATTATCAAAATAAATTAAATTTCCTTGTTTTAAGGACTATAACAAAAATATGACATATACGAAGGATTCATAAAAAAATATTTAAAAAATTATTAAAAGAATCTCAAAATACTATTTCATTTATAAAATTTTAACAACCCCACCTTTAAGAGCTACAGTTTATAATAAAGTCAAGAACACGCTTCTTTGACGTCAATCTACCTATCAATTGAAAAATTGTTATAAAAATCAGTTATATGAAATTCTAATTGATTTTTTTCAACAACTGATTTCCTAATTGTATTCAATTCTATAAATAACGAGAGAAAAAAATTTCATTAAAATAGTGAATATGCTCATATTTAGTATGATGCGCGAAGTATTGAGCAAACGAAACCCAAGTCGGGCCCCTTAATCAAGAGAATTATCCTCATGGTATTGTATACATATATCTTTAAATCAGTAAAAACATAATTCTCCAAAAAAACTAACATGTGACCACTTGACTTTCCAATTTAAGGCTGGACACTGGTTTTCCATGCTCTAAAAGGCAATGGACATGATGTCTATGCTGCATGGGACAATAGATCCCCATCACACTGCACACCAGAACGAGGCTGCATTCCCCGAGAGTTTAAGCTTGACAACTGGAGGTACAGCGGAATGCATCTTCGAAGTCCTCTTATTGATAACTGGAATTCTCTAAACATTGTTAAGGTTTATTTCTATTATATATTCTAATAAGTTTATTTAAAAGTATTAGTGAAAGCTGTTGTTTATGCAAATATTTGTAAGCGGCACACATTACTATAGCAGTATGTCAATAGCACTTGTTCTAGATTCTGCGTGTGGAAGTAAACTTATACTTGACATATGGAAAATATGGAATAATTACTCCCTCGTACGCTCCTGATACCACATCTGGATTTTCCAGAAGTCCGTGCTTGATGCCCTCTTTGCATTGACTGTAGATTTTATAAGATCTATCACTGTTGGTTATTTTTATTTTGTTTCCATTTCACACAGTGCATAGTACAGAAAATAGTTTTTGACAATTCTGCCTGGTATTACAAAACGGTTGTATGAATGAAGGTTAACATTTAAATTTATAATTTGTTCAAATAATTTACTTAAACAAACTCAATAAAGAAAAATTAATTTGGTTTTTTTTTTTTAAAAAATAACTTTTTTCTTAAAATGTTCAAAAGTATGTAATTTGATTATTGGGCAAAGCTGATATAAAAAAAAAGTTTTTTAAAAAAATCCCTACACACTGAAAAAAATGACCAGTTTTATAAATCTAGCACAAAAATAAATTGGATGAACAGGACTTTTTGTGGTTAAGGAAAATTGAAAGACAACAAGATTTTATCATTCAGGTGAAAAAAATGATTAGATCTTAATAAACATATAATTACATGTATTTCTGTAGATAATAAATTTTTGAATTAATGGATACATACAAAAAATCTGTAGATCAGGTGCAAGAGTTAACCTTAATTTTGACAAATCAGAATAATGTACATTAGGTCCGGGTACTTTTTGGAGGACATGGGAAAACACTTGCTTTTTTGGAATTCGACGGAAGTGGCAGCAACAAAAATGACTGGTTCAGCAAATCCAGATTATTACACAGCAGCTGGTCCGATCTAAAAAGCAGCTCGCAGACTAACTTCTTCTCATCGAAAGGGTTTACAAATTTTCGTTACTTAAAGTTTGTTTATTTTAAATGCTATAAGAATAATGGACAAATTTTATTTATGATTAGATTAATATTCATAAACTATTTCTTTGTTGTTTGTTTATCATGGAGTCAAATGCTGACTGACAGTTTTCATATTAGTTATAAGCCTATTATTCATACACTGAATGGACGACGGACTTTTTCGATTATTTTTCGATCATGACAGGAGCACACGGTAGGTGTTCAGCAGAGGATGCTCACTCTTCCATGACACCTAATCGCACCTCTGATGTTTTTGAGGTCCGTGTTTGCTCTGCTCCTATTTTGTATTGTTTTATGGACTTTTGATCTTTAATACTGTGCGTTAATTTTGTCCATATGTGTCATTGTTTGAAAACATTTTAAACTTCTTGTAGACATGATGCCCATATCAAAAGACATTTTTACGTCAACAAACATTACGGAGGATGTCCGAACGATACCGGATGGCTGGTTGTTTTAGATAAGACAAATGAAGTGTGTTCCTGGGCGAACAAAGGGCATTTTCCACTTTTCTTGTACAGCAAGGGTTCTAAGGCTTCCAACTGGAACCATAGTATGTTCTTAATTCTCAGTGCATAAACAAGTACTTTAAAGAACCTATGTGCAAAATTTATAATTTATAAATTTCTTACTTATTTGATATATATACTATATTGTATTATGCGAAATTTTTATTGTACTCTTAATTTGAAAAAAATCTGAGAATCTTATTTTTTATTCACAATAACAAACACAAAACATTACGTTAATTTTAGTCAGTATATCACCTTTGAGCTATATTGAACTAATTTAACATTCTAGAAACATTTTAAAACAGGCTCTTGAAAACCCTGAGAGATAAACATATTTGTATTTAGAAAAAAATAAATAAATTTATCCAAAAAAATATTATTTTTGGTAACTTGAACATAGTTAATAACAAATAAATTACTTTGTTTATATCCTATGTATTATTATAGTACTTAATGGTTTTTGCAATGAGTTCTGTCTTCCATTGTAGACCCAGGATTTGCTGATGTAATGAACGTCTACATCCTAACAGTCTAAATTGAAAAGTTGATGACATTTATGAAAGAGAATCATTTATAAATTTGTTGAACTGAGATGGGAAATAACAATCAAAGCAAATTTAATTAAAATTAATAATTTCTTTTATTCTTGCCATTGTGAACATTCAGTAGTATTGAGAATTAAGTCTACATGACAATGAATGATTCGGGAGAAAATAAGTTTTCACAAATTATTGCAACACACGTACAATCAAATTGAAATAAAGGCAATCGATGTTTTCGTTCCTGTTAGCAGTTAATGTAATTCATAGGAGAATCGGGTGTAACTATTGCCAGTGCTAATTTAGAGACTTACGAGTCGTGCTAAACTTTAGCCAATTGTTCTTTGTAGAACATAGATGTATGCAAAGGTAAATTCGAGGTGTAAATTGATTGATCATTGGCAAAATGAAGGATAAATAGGCTCCTAACTACCTCATTAAAGGATTTAATTCTTTCTTATAATTATAATCAGAATCAAAGAATCAAGTGCCAATTTTAAAACTCTTACTTGCCTATATGATCAGCTTCCTCAATACAAATTGGGAAAGGTACAAGTAGTTATTGTAAAATATACTCTAGGAATGAAAGAA